AGTAGCCTAACAGCTACGATAAGGACCCCCCAATATAATGTAAGCAGCTGTAGTACGTGTGTCTGGGTGGGAAGAAAGAAGATCTTTGAGCGCTTTTTTTGGTACATTGACTCCAGTACTGTGACATTAGGAATGAACGTATAGCAGGATATCACTCCAGCGAAAGTAGGGAGAACAATAAGAAAACGAGAAAAAAAACATAGATGTCACGAAATTTCTTTGAAAAAAAAAAAGAGTGCATCCAAGAAAAGCCACGCGACATCAGTCTATTGCACTACGTGACACCTGAAATATCAGTTGCAAAGCTGGAATAAAACCAAGTTCCTCAAGTATTGATGCAGCAAGAGCAATGTCAGCTATTGGAGCAGAGTTAAGGTACACCAAATCTCGTGGCATTAGAAAACGCAATGCATGCACTTCGGTGACCACACGTTTTACTTGCAGACATCGCAAAGGATTGTGGAACACATGTCAGGCACTAAAGTCCTCGTCTACTTGACAATAAGCAATCAAAATGACAACAAAAAATGGGAGCGAAGAAGTTCGTTCACACCTTATAGCTCTTCAAGTTTCGTGCCGACTAGCTTTATAAATCACCCTTTAAAGCACTCTGTCGCTTTGAAATGTGAAAACTTGAGTGAGCATGTCGGTGAGATATTGAAGTATCACAACACTCACTTGTATCACATCAGTGCTTTGTTGATGATGATTATGATGAATCCACAGTCATGGCTTGTACCCATTCTGGGGGATCAGCCAAGAATTAATGACATAACTCAGTGAGAGTTTTTTTTTCCTATACAATATTGCTACCCCCTACCAGGAAAAAAAGGAGAAGACACCGTAGGTAGAACAAAAGGAGTGCAATAATTGTTTGTCCCTCGTTCCAATCAGACAATGCATTCGTTACCTTGAATAGAAGTTAGCATGGTTAAAGAAAGCTCCTGTTTATGTTAGAATATTTCTGCAGGAATAATGATCACACAATATAAAGCTTATTTTTTAGTTTCATTAGGGTACTTGCAAACTGCATCAAAACCTTTCTCGCGGCTGAAGCCCAGATCCGAAGCACCAAATGAAAGTATACTTTCTATTGTGAGGTTTAGCCCCAGGCTAGCAAGTGGGATAAATAAAATTCTCTTTCTAGGCAATTTGTATTGGTGACATGATAAAAAATAGTGCTCTATTGTTTCTGACTGCGAACAAAAGTTGCGTAGTGGTGATATCGCCAGATCAACCCTATGTGAATAGAAATACAACAGGGGGGACAGGATATCGAAATCTGGTTATTATGTCTTCCAACTGTCTTGTAGGACGCCTATGAATTTTTCACGAAACTATTAGTGAGTAACTTTGGTGTTGACATTATTGCTTTCGTAGCATCTGCACGAAGCGAAAGTTTTTTCTATTTTGTCGCAGTTAGAGTGGCCACTTTGGGAAAGACTGATAGTACTGGACCTTCCAAAGCTGCTCGAGCTAGAGAGTCAGTGATTTTATTTACTTCGAAGCTGCAATGACTAAGTATCTATACTAATTTCAGTAGCTGCAGCTGACTAGCTGCAGCTACTGAGGGACTAGCCTAAGGAGCGATTTTAAGGCCATCGATTTTGTCTATGCCCTAATAGACGTACATACTGACAGGGAATCCGTGATTATGATCGCGTTATAGAAATACAAAGGTAGCTTTCACAGTGCGAGAACTATTGTCAACAGTTCAGCTTCAAAAACGGGGTTGAAACCCGGTAGTCTTAATGAAAAGGCCAGTCAAGTAAATGCGAGTATGTACCTACACCTGCCTTTTCATCCATTGCTGAAGCATCTGTGGCTATAACATCATTCGTTTCTTCGTGTGCAAAATAATTCTGCAGTCGGCTATTTAAGACCTTATAGGATTGTAATTTGGGTTTAGAGGAGAAAGTCTTTTCAAATTCTATCTTAAGATTCTGAATTGAAACCTGCACCGCAATCACATCTCAAATTTTTACATTTATCTTACCTAGTTGTTTCTGGACAAAAGTAATCTAAGGTGTTCGAAACCATGGCCAATGGGCGAGAAAGAATGTGTCTGGGCCATTTATAAAATCACATTCAGATCGTCTGGCTGCATAGCTATAAAATTTCAGAAATGTCTGTACCGTTAGGATACGAAAACGCTGTGTGTCTTACCTTGGTCAGTCTTTGTCTGTTGAGCAGCTTGAGTTGTTCTAGTATTCAACTCTGTCGCACGTTCGTGCATTCTGTCGATATAAAAAACTGATTCATTCTATAAACTGAACTTCTTTCTCTGCGTTTTATTTCACTTTCTGAATGTTTGCCATTTTGTCAAACACATCACCTTCACGCGCACGCACTGCAATACAACGTGGCAGTAGCTGTGAGAGAGACGATGATTCGTAACACGCTGGTTAAAATTGAATTGGACGAACGTGGCCACTGGTAGCGCTGGCGGCGTATGGCAGTGATGGACTGGGTTGTGATGATTATTTCAAGTAGATTTCTAGCTACTATACTTGTAGTAGGTGTTTGAACGGAGTTTAAACAGAGCTGTATAAATACACTCATCCAGCTTAAGATGTGACTGTTCCACGCGTTCTGCAGGTGTGCCACGCTTTTTAGGGCCACTTTTTGAGAGAAACCATGCTTGAGTGAATGTTTGGTATTGGTTTGTCAGGTAAATACTAGGCTATTCCAAACGTTCTATGCAATATACGGACGTACGTGCTACACGAACCTAATGGTCATATAGCTACCATGAAAACAAAGCTGTACAATGTTTACCATATGTCTGCTCCATTGAAGTCATCTGCCCTCCATTAACGAGTTAAACTCTCCTTGCCCCATCCAAGCAATTTCTGCGACGTTTCTTTAGTAACTTTATCTCGGATAGTTAGACTACAGTAAAACTGATGCTTTGGGGATTTAGTAGGTATTCGTGGTGAAATTCGCAATGTGGCATGCACAGTGACACTTGTTATCCTCTTTTTTATGCGCCTATTATATGTGGACCCTACACATTTCAGCATTAATAAGAATATCGATATTAAATGTATAGCATCTAGAAATACGTTTTAAGGACCTCAATTGTGCATTACAGACATATAATAAAATGCGAAAATACATAGCACAAAAAGAAGTTAGAGAAGAAGTGCTTTTTCTTGCTTAAAGTTCTCTTGTGACGTGTCTTTCTGCATTCAGTTGTTTCGATTCTCACGTCAAGAAAGACGTTAAAGATCTGGCGACAACTCAGTAGAATCTATTTCGACATCTCGCGACTCGACACCCATCACAAGCGTTAACAACATTGACGACTGAAAGATAGACAAACAGAAGCAGCAGTCCCTGACGCTTGACGCGGGATAGCTTATATTTAACTCTTCATAAAATAAGAAAAAAAGAGTACAAAAGTAGCTGAATGTTATGGACGGTTCTTAATCGGGAATATCAGTTCTATCTGTTCTTCTTCAGCCATTTTTTACCACGAAAGTGTTCTGTGCCAGGGTACACCAATGCTTCATTGACGTATTTTGGTCACGGAAGCGGCCCCCAAAAATACGCATATCCAAGAATAAGGATGCGTTAGAGCGCCTAAAGCAAGCACTCATAAACTACGCCAGAAAATCTTTCATTGTCATTAAAGCACAAACCGTACAATCACTGCATATTGCCAGTTTGAACATATTCAGCTGAAACATGTAGAATTTTAAAGGAACAATGTAATTCAAAAGTTGGACGTAATCTAGGACTTAACGGAACACAAGTAACATTAGAAAATGGGAGGACGTGACAAAAAATCCGAAAGCAAACAAGCATTTCAAATATTCTAGTTGGAAGAATGTGAAACGAATTTACCTACGTGGGCCACGTAAAGCTCAAAACAAATAACCAGTGGACAACAAGAGCAACAGAAAACGTACCAAATGTTATGAAAGGCAGTAGAGGTGGTCAGACAGTTTAACGCAGTGAAAAAAATAATTGTGGTACTAGAATCAGTTCACACTTTAGAAGGGAGACTGGTGATTAACAGAAGAGGCCTTTTTCCAGTGGTTAATTAGAGCAGTGTGAAAATCAAGCAACGTTTGAAGGTGAAGCCTTAAATGCCTACGCAATGGCAAAAACCGATCGTCGGTGGCGTCGCAAAATTTATGATGATCTGATCACTTGAACCTATGACATCACCAAGATACCTAAACTGTGAAAGTTTCTGACGTCCTCAAAATTTTCTCATGGTGGCCCCACCGGGACCTACTAGACATCACATAATGACGCCATTTCATTGCATCCTCACTTGATCAATGACGGGCTCATCCCAGACGTTTTCCAAGACCACGTTAAGCTTCCAATGCTTATAAGCCTGAAGGATATGCGAAACTATGTTCGCACAAGAATTGTCACAGTAGGAAGGGGTCAAATAAGTGACGTTGAATGAAGGATGTCTTGAATTCATTCAATTATGAAAAACAATACGAAGATCGCTTTGACCTTCGAGCCGTGCTACGATGATGCGTAGGAGTCTGTGTGACTCTAGTGTTTCTGCAACTGTTGGTTTACTTAAGCATAAAATAAAGCAGAATGCTATAGGTCAATGCACACGAAAATTTAGCTTTTTGTGCAGACTTCACTGTGCGGTGGATTGTTTCATGCTGAACCAAATACAGAAAAGAGACGATTGGTGTTCGTCATATTCTTCAGTGACAAAGAAACAAAACGAATGAGTGTCCATACGTTTCACTCCTAGGGGAATTGTGAACTTTGTCAGCAGCGTGAAGATTAGTCGGGTCGACAAAAAGACACAACACTGCTTACTATAAGCGAGCAAAATAATACCAAATGACACACCTTTTTTAGAAGACTGAAATGAATGATTCAAAGAGTACTTTCCATTTGGACTATGACGAAGCTCAAACTTTATACAAGACAGAAAGTCTGAACCTTAGTTCTGAATAAAGCAGCGCTAGTGCATCTATACGATATATAGCCACGGCTTTAAGCAGTTTTTTTACGTTGTTTTGTCAAACGGTTACATGTGCAAGGGGGCAATGAATATGTGCTGGTATTTGTTTCTTCTTATTGCAGTAGGTAAGTTTTTAACGTCGATATAACTTGCATGTTTTGCTTCTATCCGAACCGTGCCTCAGGTGGTGTTTAAAAGAATGGCAATTGAACTTTTATGAACATGTTATATGAAAACTTTCCTAGGGCAGCACTTAATTACTTCTGCAGTTTGTTGTAGAGACAGAATTTTTAAATTTTTCGTGACCGTCGACATTTTTAGTCATGGAATTTTCCAACAAATTGACAATTGACAGATATACTTTTTGTCAGCAAAACAGTGATTGAACGTAGAAAAAATAAGTATATTCACAGGTGTTTCTTTTATGCAAGATAGTTTCCCTTCCATGGTGCATCAATAGATCTCATGCCTGCCCCTCTTTCTTTCTCTAGCTTTCGGTTGCCTTAATTGCCGCATCTGATACTGCATGTCGAAACTAACACCAGAAAGATCCCGCCCTGACAGCGTTCACTTTTCGATCTCATTTTTTATTATCGCGCTGCACCCGCTGCGCGGCCTAATCCCCACTTCTTCTTCCTTGACGAACGCTGCATTTTGAGGCGCTACAGGGCTCCTTCCCCCCCTAGCGCTTTGCGCGATCGAGAACATATGTACAAATAAAAAGATGGAAAGAGACTATATACATGAACGACAGTCCGAAAAGTGTCCGCTTGGAAAGTCCAGGTTGTCAACAAAAAAAAAAAAAACGTTGGGTGTCTCACAGTTCCAGTGGGCGAGACTGGGAGCCACAAAGTGGGAGAGGTGCGTGCCGAACAGATCTGGTAGGCAGCATTGACGCGACATGCCGAGGCCCTAGCGGCCGCCAGCATCGGTGGCACTACCGGTCGCCTTTCAGATAATACTTTAGTTAGGATGGCGCAGAGCGTGATGAGGTCTCGTGAGGGATGGTGCCGCAAGTGTTGCATGAACGTCGTAGGCACGAGCGTTGTTGAGAATTCGACGCTGTCTGCATGAGGTGCGGGAATGAGCACGCTGGTCAATGGTCCTTGAAACGGCACGCCGGAAGAAAGGCTCTGCGCTGCACACTGTGGTTTCCGACGGGCTGTAGTTACGTCGGCGGACAAGTGCGTTGAACAGCAACGGGCTGATGGCACGAGCGCAAGATGTACATTAATAGCAGCAACGTTGGTACATCTCTGGCGTATGCTGAAGGAAAAGGCCCCGGACTCGAGCAGCAATGATCAGCACCGTGGCGTCGTCGAAGGTCATGCGGAAAGTGCTGATTGGTTTCGAGTTCTTCCGCGCTGTCCCAAGAGATGGCCAGCAGCAAGCCGGGATCCACAGGACACTTGGACTGTACCAGACCATAGCAGGCCATGTATGTGGCTACGTCACCACCTATGGTAGCTGCCACAGGAGCTCTTGGGATCGGGATGGCACGCTGGCCACATGATTGCGTAGCCGGGGAGTCACATTCGGTAACTTCGCCATGGGCATAACTGGAGCGTCATTCGCAGTCGTTGCTATGCTGGCGGTAGCTTTGCTGCTGGCGTGGGTAACAGCAGCTTGTTCGGTTATGGTGCCGCACGTGGTGTCGGTGAACAGGTTCCAGGTGGCGCTGGTTTAGGTGTCGCACACGGCGTCAGTAGGCGCTGAAGTCGTCGTGTTCACCGAAGTGTCCACAGGCACCAACCGGTCAACCAAAAGCCGATCTTCGGGCGTTGTGCGCTGCGATACGCCAGCGGAGTCGGTTGTGGTAAGAAGGTCGTTTACCTCGTTGTTGTGGAGCAGCGCTGGACGGGATGAGGTCGAGGGGAACCGCGAGGAAGGCTTCATCAGTGTAGATGAAGAAGCACCTTCCTTGTGGTCTGTCTCTTGTCGGAGGTGGTGTTCAGCGCCACAAAATCGTAGGACGGCATCCCGTAGTCCGTCATAAGGGCGGAACGTACGGGGTAGTACAAGGTCAAGTGTAATGAAGCGTTGGCCGTATGTGCGAATGGCGGAATTGTTGATCGCTCAGAGCGGGCAGGCCTGTTTGTTGCGACGGCGATCTGCACACGTGGCCGAGATTACGCTAACCTGGGTTCCTGTGTCGACTAGGAAGCAAGCACCAGTGATCTTATCAGAAACATAGAAAAGACGGCATGATTCTCGATCAGTAGCACTTGCCGCCGTCAGTGGAAGGTCGTCGCCTTTCCCGACCAGGAGCATGGGTGAGTGCACTTGCGAACAGAGGCACAAATTGGCGGTGGCACCAGCACATGGTTGAGGATGACATGTCGCGCGGCGCTTTGATTGGCCGAAGTTCCAGAGATCGTGGGGGCGTCGAGGGGCGACTGTGTATTTGGAACCTGGATGAAGGTCGACAATGCGCAGGTACAAAGTCATCGAGGCGCCTGGCAAGGGCGTCTAAATGGTTTATCGATTCTCGCTAGTGCCGGGTCTGCCGCGGTGGCCGGTGGCGATGTGGTAATGGCACTGAGGCTATGTGCCCGCGAGTAGTCCGCCACTCAGCCAGCTATTTCAGCGAGTGTGTCTGCAGGGACATCTCCTGCAGCTACGAGGACCGAGACCATGCTCTGCGGTAAGCGCAGGAGGAACAACTCACGTAACAGCTTCTCCTCTTGAGGGGCGGAGGGGCCACCAAGAAGCTGGCGCATGCGTCGCAGGAGCTGTGATGGCCGACGGTCACCGAGCTCTGTAGACGTGATGAGCTGTTGAAGTGTGCTATGTTCGGACTCAGACTTGCGGGAAACGACAGCTGCCTTCAACGTGCCGTAGGATTGACTGGGGTGCGATGACGCTAAAATATAAGCTAAGTCGCGTCGCCGGCTACGTCCGGAGGTAAGCAGGACACCAGATGCCAGTTCCTGGTCTGTTGGCTGGTGATTTGCCGTAGACGGAAGTGCGCCTCGACCTGCAGAAACCATGTGCGGGGGCTGTTGAGCTAAAATGGTGGAAGGTCGACATGTTGAATCGCAGCGACTGCCGCACCGCAAGGTCTGGCGTCTTCTTGGGCGTCAGGACCGGAAGAATTAGTGGCAGACCGGCGGGATTAATGCGGGATGATCAGGGCTGTGTGTTCTTTATTGTGTCACCATTATCTGTCGGAGCTAACACGAGAAAGATTGAAAGATCCCGCCCTGACAGCGTTCACTTTTCGAACTAATTTTTTATTATCATGCTGCACCCGCTGCGCCGCCCAATGACCACTTCTTCCTTGACGAGCGCCGCATTCTGAGGCGCTACATGCAATTTTGATGATGACGACGACAACGATGATGATGATGATGATGATGATGATGATGACATCTGATGGATGGCGCTCATCCACAGAGGGGGATGAGCCAAGAATCAGGTGGCAGGATACCTAAATGAAACTTAAATGAAAATAAAGCTAATCTGAAAGTAGTTCAGAAATAACAATACCAATAAACGAAACTGTTTGCTGAGCAAGCGGTCAAACCATCTCTTGTTTTTGACAGACATAGCTACGAATTATAAACTAAAGATCTGAAAAGGTTAGGGTTCACTAGCACCATAATCTTTTAGTTGCGTTGATGTAATCAAACACAGTGGAGCATATATCCCTGTGGCAGTAACCAAATGAAATTCCGCCAAGTGATAAAATTGGAAAATGGCACTTGTAGCGAAGGCTGTTGTGATATCACAACAAGGGTACCGTAGTTGACCACTGCCGCGACCGCTGTCCGTGACAAATATAGCTCGAAATAAAAAAAACGAAACAATAACAAACGTTTTTTTGAGTTGCGGTACTTCTGCTTGCAAGCGTAAACTCTAAAGACTAATTTAAATATCTCATCTCCCTACGTTTCTCAATTTTTTTTAGTTTATTCTGGAAGGAAATGTTCTTGCGGTAACATAAAAATAACAGTCTTGCTTATTTTTCTTACGCCACTCACCCATGAGCATCTTGCCAACAGGCTGTTTGTTGTCCTTGTATATGAAGTTTAAAAAAAAACCTGAAACAAAGGAAATTTTTTTCCAGGTCAAGAAACAGAGCATTTATCAAGGCAGCTGGCGTAATGCCCCATCATTCACAAAACACTTGCACAGAATAACAGTAAAATATTTCATTCGGTCTGACAGCAGATGTTTTCTTTTCCTTAGTAGCAGATGAATTTTTCAGGTAGAGTTTATTTGTGCAAATCACCTCTTCTGCGTGATAGAGCACATTGCGGCTAATTTATATTTTAGTCGTTGCTTTGCACCACTAAATATTCTGAATTTTTGTGTTGCGAAGCTGTTCTAGCTCAGAAAAATATTGCCAATAGTCACCCAAAACTGCCATCATAACCAATCACTACGTGCTCTTTTCGTCCGCTTCTGAATTTTTTTACTTCATTTTTGGAACCCGTGCGCCAAAGTGTTCAGCGCATCTCAAGCGGGTGAGTGAAAGAGCGAAAGAGATGAGCGGGAAGTGAAAGAGAGAGAAACATGAAAAACAAGTCCTCACAATTTGGGAGGTTTCGAGCCTGCGCATCCACGATTTGAAGGCCAGCGTCCCAAGAACTATGCTATCTAGGCAGCTCACAGAATATAAAGTTTTCGTGGCCGAGTTAAAATAAAAAAAGGGCCGCCACATCCACGAAGTGAATGATGATGAGTGGGCGAAGCTCCGGAGGTAAACCTGGTAAACCATGAATCCTCCGTACATTTTGCCCACTCGATTTTATTGCAACGCCCCTCCTAGCGTACGTCGCCGCACTATATCGAACGATGACACGCGCCATATGTGGCATCATTCCTATTTTATAACACCTCGCATCTTTCATAATCAACTACACGTACCGCCGTCTAGTTTATAACATCTTGCATCTTTTGGATGGATGGATGGATGGATGGATGGACGGACGGACGGACGGACGGACGGATGGATGGGACGGAATGACGGACGGACAGATGGACGGACGGACGGACGGACGGACGGACGGTTGGATGGACGGACGGACGGACGGACGGATGGACGGACGGACGGATGGATGGATGGATGGATGGATGGACGGATGGACGGATGGGTATGGCTGTACCCTTCAGATCGGGTGGTGGCTAGCGTAATACTTAATGCCGTCAGCTACAAGTACCGCCATCTAGTGAACACTGCAAGAACTGAACGAGAGGTGGCTACATACAGGGGACGCACAGCCCACGCCTTAAGGAGCTTCGCTCCTAAAAAAATCTGTGATGAATAAAGAACAATGCAGAAAAAAAACAAGCGCTGGTGTTATCCCGTATTGTTCTTTCTCCATCGATTTTGTTTCTTTGTACCGCGCAAAACATTTACTCTACATACAACCAGCTGACCTCTGTTCTGGCTCTTCTAGCAGATCGTAACATAGCCTTCTTCGATGTCGTATAGTAAGCGAGTAGGAAAGGGAAGTGAGTGTGGACGGAGAAATATGAGTGTGAGGACGGAGGAAAAGAGGAACGATGTAGTTAAGCAAGGAAATTAGGAGAAATAAATCAAAATAAATCAAGAGAGAAATAAATAAATGGGAACCTCAAAGCAGAAACGAGCGTGAAATAGAGAAGAAGTGACACAAAAGTGACACAAAAAAACAGAAAGAAGCGCGGAAATAGAAAGAAATAAAAAGAAACGAATAGAAAGAAAATGGTGCAAAAATCAAGAAAGAACAATAAATAAACGGAGTAAAAAGGGCACAATAACAGAGAGAGGAAAAAAGAAGTTATGGCGAACTAGAAAAAAACGAAAGAAATGATAGAATAAGGCTGTCTAGTTCCGCACTTCCTCCAGGCTTGGCATCAATAGTGCAAAACCACCCTGTCAGCTCCGCCCTCTTATTAGGCTATGGCTCAAGCTACTCTAATGTTGCTTCTAGAAACTCTTAAAACTTTTGAACCTCTGAAAGAGCTCTATTGTTGTGAAAAAACTGCTTTTTTATTACTTGATCTATATAACCACCTTCGAAACATGAGTGATGACGACAAATTATGTTGCTAAAGACGTTTTACAAAAGAAACTAACCACATAGACCCAAATTCATATAATGAAATTCAAATAACGTGGAGCTTTTGCATCAAGCCTAGCGTGAATATATTTCTGTGATAGAATAAATACGAAATATTGAATTATTTTGTGTTGCTTCTAGTGCATGCATATATGCACGCTACGCTTGATGGAAAACACTTTTTAGCCTTATGTATATTCATATACAAAACCTTTCTCACAAAATGGTTTTTTTCTCCTTCTATATTTCGTTGCAAATAATAGTTTTACCACGTCTGCAGTATTTTGTTATTTATCGTCACTTTTATATGGAGAAGGATTATTGCTTCACATAAAACATGTCTCATCATTCATTACAGCGCCCTCGCTGGAAAAAGCTGCAAATGGTTAGTCCTCAATTCATTCAGAATTATTTCGATTTAAATTTACGATTACTAATTATTTGGTGTGTTCATGGAAAGAAATTCCAGAAGGAGTAACTTTTTACGAATATTTCATTTTACTTTGATAGGTTAAACCAAGATAATCACGTCAATCTAGTGGCATACACACCTTCTTGGATTGGTTAAAAACTGCCACAACGCAGTTTAATAATATATTTATCACACCTGACGCACAACTCAGAACACTTGTACCAAATAGAACGTCCACGCAAAACGTATGTCTTGACCATGAGTGAATGCATTATTAACTCCTATGAATGTGGGCGTCGCGATAACAAACTGAAACAAGGAAAAACTCACGCCTAGAACGCTGAGCTTTTTACCGACATCACAACCGTGGCAAGTATTCACATGTTTTTTGCTATATTATTCTGATCACAGTGTGTCACTCTTAAATCTGCATCATTGGAGTAGGTACAGCATATTGAACTACCAATAAAACAACGAAAAGTGCGAAAAAAAGCGACAAGAACACAAAAGAAACCTGCACTGCACTTGTGCATGTGCATTGTGTTTCTTTGTCTTTTTTCACACTTTTTGTTGTTATAGAGTACCAAATCACCCAGCGTTTAGTCCTCATAAAAATATCTGAAGTATATAGATTGCCTCACTTATTCACCACTTGATTTGGATATGATGCTGATTTTCATTTTGGATTTCGAATTAATATTTACGTGTGGGGCTTCGAGGATATAAAAATTTCTATTACGACAAGATCAATCTAGCTCGTGTAGAGTACTAAGTGACTAATAGGGCAAATAAACATAAGTTCAATAAATGCGGAGCAATTCTTAGCGAAATTTGGTGACCTAGAGCGTATCTATCTATCTATCTATCTATCTATCTATCTATCTATCTATCTATCTATCTATCTATCTATCTATCTATCTATCTATCTATCTATCTATCTATCTATCTATCTATCTATCTATCTATCTATCTATCTATCTATCTATCTATCTATCTATCTATCTAGCCACTTACGTTTGGGTGTTCTTGCGGTCAGCCCATTAAGTTGGAATGAAACAAAATTTGCATGAGAGAATGATGTGGTTTCACGAATATGACGCACTGGTCAAGACATGAATAATGTCACAATCCCGTCGCGTACGTCGTCAAACACTTCTCGCCAGACAGTGAGTGGCACATACCCACGGGCAGGTATGTGCCGCTGAAATGCGTGTATGTGCCACAGGCGATTGACACTTAGTATCTATCCAGGAGGGACGAGAACACACACGGGCAAGTTTAATGTGTGAGCGTTAAAAAGTACTCGGCATCGGTAGCGTCGACCCCACGAATCCAAAGAATAAACGTTAGGGTCCCAGTTTGAATTGAATCCAAGCATTATGCGTGACAATGAAGAATTTTACCACAGAGCTACGCCAGCTTTCGGAACTACTATTCAAATAGACTCTTATCTTCTTGAAACGTCAATAGTGGTTGCAGTGCTGCCTACCGAATTTTATAAACATTACCTTATGTACCTTTTTGGCACAGCCCTCACGTCGGGTTAACGTCAATTATGGTTAGTTGCCTTGCGCTGAAGTTGATTCATGTAGCAGGGTCCAGGGCCAGCATCCTTGCAAGCATCAGCGCTTCATATCACCTTCTGGTGTTGCTAATAAGCGTGCTACTGTTGGCATCGTTGCGCAAGCGCGAAAAAACTGGTTATACAAACATCTGCCACTCTTTCATTGATTGATTTGTGGGGTTTAACGTCCGAAAACCACCATATGATTATGAGAGATGCCGTAGTGGAGGGCTCCGGAAATTTCGGCCACCTGGGGTTCTTTAACGTGCACCCAAAGCTGAGCACACGGGCCTACATTTCCGCCTCCACCGGAAATGCAGCACCGCAGCCGGGATTCGATCCCGCGACCTGCGGGTCTGCAGCCGAGTACCTTAGCCACTAGACCACCGCGGTGGGGCATCTGAAACTTTTTAACATTTGTCTCTGCGTGCAACATTTGTACATATATATACCATGATTTTAGGACGTCTCGCTCAATCGAAAAAAAAATGCAACATGGTCACCATACCTCCGCATGCTTTGAATATTGTCGATTTCTAGGTATACGTGGGATCTGCCAAATTTTTATTCCTGCGGAACGTGCTGCTACGTAGTCCAACGTAGCGGCTGCTTAGACAAGCCTAGTGGCCTTTATGCATGCTAGCTCAACAGCTGTGACGTGATCGTGGCAGTTGAATTGCGAAGCGTTTCCCACTCCTCTATGATGAAGCTCGACTCAATAGTTTGTTCTCAGAATGTGGCGAGACAGTCACATGCGTATATCCGCAGACCATGATTTTTAATATGTCCCCTACAAAATTTTAAATGAGTCATTTGGAACTTGGCCTATGATTTTTCATTGATTGTGAGAAACAAAATGCCTAATAGATGTCACTTTTGGCGAACAAAGTTAGCACCTAACATTCTACTTATTTAGAGCAATGCCAATGTATTGAGCGATCTTTGTAGTTAACGTGTAGTAAACGTTATTTTGTAGATTTGAATTAAAATGTTCGCAGAAGATGTTGCGCTGATTTGTTGAAATACTTTTCCACTCGCGTGTTTTGCAGGTACCTCGAAGTATCCCAATCCACCTCGTGAGTTTGTGTTTCACGTTGACGACCAGTTCTGGTGCTTAAACAACCAAGATTTGGCCGAAGTTTCGCGTTATAAGTATTAGGGAGTTTTAGAAAACCGTTTGCAGACACTGCGGGCGTTGCGGGCGTTACGGGCGTAGCGGGCGCCATATGAGTTTTAGAATAGCGTTTGCCCTGCTGCAAAACGTAAGGCACGATCGCAGCAACACCGTAGCCTCGAAACCAGCGTTTGCGGGCCACATGCGACCCGTGATCGCAGCACGCTATTTCAGATTTTCTGTGCGCGGGCCGCGAACGCAAACGCCGACTCGCGTTAAGACGCGTGGGCAGTGGCAGCGACCGCACCGCAAGGGCTCGCAGTGCGCTATATTAAAACTCTCTATTAACACAACAATTAACACATAACCTGTGCGTTTGAAAAACAAATATATGGCAGTATAACACTGTCATTACAAAGTTCAATGTTACGGTTAAATAATCATTACCTTTTCTAGAGATAGGCAGGATTGCTTCGTAATTCAAAGATGCGTAAACGTCCTTTCTTGGGCAATTTCTCCATAAAAAAGTATGTGCGTGTATTTAGGACAGATAGACAAGAAATAAAAAAGCAGGAAAGATGATTGCGTAGTCATAATAGGTCAATAAGCTTACAACCCTTCTTGTTCCGTTTCGGTTTGTTACCTCCGTATATGTGATGCAATAGACAAGGAATGAAAAGCAGGAAAGATGATTGCGTAGTCGTAATAGGTCAATAAGTTTACAACACTTATTGTGCTGTGTCAGTTTGTTACTTTCAGTGTATGTGATGGAAGTAATGCGTAGGAAAGAAGAGGATAACGCTTCACAAAATTCGACAATATAATTAAGTATGTGCACCGTAATAGTTGTATTGTAGTGATGATATCACTACAGTTGAGAAAGCAGATCGGGCTAACTGTCTTTGCTTCACAAGACATGGTAAGATAATTCATACGAAACTCCATTTCCACTCAACTAGCGCATTACTAGGCACATAAAGAAGGATTTTAAATATGTACCCTAAAACAGGGTGAATGTCTGATATCATTAAAAATAATACTGTAGAGTCGCTCAACTCACGACAAACTTTGATGTTTCACAACGCACTCAAGGGCTATCACAAAGGTTACACCACAAAACTTTTCTCTATAGTCATATCGATTACGTGACATAGATTGCGGTATTCTCAACAAAGAGCACCAAAAATTACACAAGAATGTCTTGTGATTCTTGCGTAAGTAACAGAAAAGTTTTGGCTTTCATGCATCTGTCGATTCGCAGGCCAATATTATTGTGTTTTTAGTGATACTGGTTTTTCAGGTGCTGAAATCTGCCTAAAGTGTTTAGGGAACTGGTGACCTTTTCCCTGTTACGTCATTATCATTGACCTTATTGACAATGTGACAATAGCTTACGTTAGACGTTCTCCTTCTTACCATTCTCTAACGTGTTTGAATGCAAGCAACCACGTTTTAGACGTGCTTTTCCAGCCACTTGAATATCTTCATAAGCTTTGATTAGGCATGGAATGCATAACATTTAATGGACCATATGCGAAATTGCTTTGTGCTCTGGCAACACTGTGCATTTTGACCTCGCCGCCATTTTAATGTGGGCGAGCGGTCGACGGCAACGCGTTCGCTAGTACGGCCGTACGACTCCTCAACACTTGCTTCACTGCGCTGAGCTACTGCGATGGCCACAGCAAGACGTTTCCCAGTGCCCGAACATGTGATGTGGACAAACTGTTCAGGAATCTTGCCACATCTTGCCACTTGTATGTTACTGCATCTTTCAGAAAGCGGTGGAAGGATACCTGCAAGTTATAAGCAAACAAACATTCAGTGCGACGTCATGAGCTAGGTTTCTCTTAGCTGCTTAAACGATTGTTGTTTACAAACACAGGCACTATCGCAAATTCATCTCACAGGGAATAGAGGTCACACTTATATTTGCATTGCAGGAGTAATGATGCACTTGTAATGTGACCCCCTCCCTCTCAGTTTTTTCTGGACACACCCCGGTTTCTTGGCAGCCTTTCCTTCACAGCAAGCCTTAAGAGGCATTTGTCACTTGTGGACACTCGGGGAAATTTAAATCAGTTATTTTTTATATCTAAGTAGCTTCAAAGGTTTCTAGGAGCTGCGAGTGTAAGGCAGCTAAAATGCTGAATCCCATAGAACTAAGTTATGGCTGTCTCCACAGCTGTATGTTTTATAATGCAACATGAAACATTTTTCAAGTGAGGTGAGTTGCAACATTAAAGAACAGCTGCAACGCAACTGAGCCGAAGAGACTAAACTTCAGAGAATGAATCCCGTCTTACGAATAAATAGGACTGCTGCGCTCTGAACTCATGCAGCACGTCATTCAGTCAAGCCCTGGCGATACTCATGGTGCCAGTTTTCGAAAACTGCGGCACTGCGCCCCGCTCTTTTCGATTTTATTTCATTGGTAAAGGAAAATTAGTGAGAGAGGCCCCAATAGAAAAGTTGCGTCCGCGCACGTTGGGGGTATTGAAGTTAAGTGCCTGAGCAGATACTTTTCTATTCGAAAGTGGGCATAGCACTTATCTTCCGAATGACTGTTTTATTGCTGCGCGGTGACCGTACTTGCGGACACAACGGAGCTTGAACGCGGACAAGCAACCGAGCTGCCTTTCTAGGATGCGTGTACGGCATGTTACTCGGAATAGCGGAAGCTCTGCACGTCTCTGTGCGCAATCACCTTCAAAAAAAAAACATTTCTACGCCGTCTAACTACATGGTGTAATCTTTTCACAAAAAAGCCCGTCCTAATAGTTCGGTTCTGTCACACTGTTACCCCACCAGTAGGGGCGGACTCTCTATTCGACTGGACGGAATCACCGGGGGCTCTTCGGTTTACCATCTCAGACTCACCGCGGATAGTCCGCGGGTAGTCCGAGGCTTTCCCGAAGTCATGAGAATATTTGAATGCCACACAGCTTGCCAGCGAGTTCGAGACGGTAAATCGAAGAGCATCCCTGTCGTGTAGAGGCCCGACGTAGTGAAAACACCTAGCCGCAAAGCTGACAAACCCATAAAAACACGGCCTGTCCGCGAAACACAGAACAATGGTTAGTCCTGCATTGCTCTCGTGCAGCCCGCGCACCGCGGAGATACATGCATCCTAGACTTTGCCCATAAAGCTTGTGCACGCCATACCCTGTTTTGCGTTTAAATGATCGCTGGAAAATTGTAATTCATGCCACATACCTTGCTCCCATCGCTGTCTGTGACTCAGCCCTGCTTGCACAGCGGCACACAGCAGTGTACTGGCATTTCGCCAGCAAAAAAATCTGACTGCGACAGTCAAAGCGTTGAAACGCGTACGTTCGCATGGGGGTCACCCGCGCGTAGTGGTCAAGCCTCGCCAGCATCAAAATGGCGGATATGGTACCTGCTGCGTTCACTAGATGGCGCTGTTAATTTCGCATATTGCCTATTAGCATAACATGAACATCACGCCATTCAAGCCTCCAGATTTCTAATATAGTCTTTGTGTTCTCCCGGTCAACCTGTTAACTTCCCGTGTTCCGAAATTCGCACCACATCAGCGCAGAAGGAATACTCTTGAAAACGTGAGCAAAGTACGGTACTGGTCTAGTTGGCTTTCCAAGATTGAAAAACTGCGTTACAGTTAATGCAAAATACAAAGTTAAGGAGAAAACATGAAACGAAGTGGACAATACAAGCGCAGACTATCAATCGAATTTATTGAAAAAACGTTAAGCTATCAGCCCACGACCAACGCCTAAAGACATTTCAGCAATATTGCTGCTCCCGCCTCCACAATTTCAATGTAAACCGATTTTTCCCTCTCATGGAAGTCCTCTTACCATCAAGTTTTTTCAATAAATTCAGTTGATAGCGCTTTTATTGTGTACGTCTTTTCACGTCATCTCCGCAACGTTGTATTTCGATCTACCTGTAGCGCAGTTTTTTAATCGCACTATTTGACAAATGATCGCATGACTATCGCGTTGAGAATGTGAAATGCGTAGTTAAATGCACAAAAGTGTCTTAGGGCTCCCGTGGTCGTTTCGCAAAGTAGGCAGATACATAAATTTACATGACGCGACGCTTGTGCATGATCGACATCGACAGTGAGTTAAGACAGTCGGATGATGAAATACACACCTTGTACCTTGTAACGAACATGACAAGGTGCAATCATAATGTCATGGGGTTCGTTTTATTTCCTCGTAGGAAATCAATGTAGCGCAAAATAACGCCAACGCATGAAGAATAAGAATGTCATTCGATGACATGAACGTTCGTGGCGCGCATATAATATGTTGAATAACAGGAAGAACACGAATGGCTTAATACAAATCTCGTGAAGCCGTCTCGCTCGTGTCGTTGGCATAATACATAGAATAATGTACATGCATACGCGGCAAATGAGCGAATAAAATAGCATGTCATCAACAGCGTGGCTGTAGTTGTCTTTAAGCCTGACAATGTGATATCGGGATATCCTTATTTACTGTTTCATGTATGTTCCTGTTGTATATTTTCTTACCGTAATAACCACTTCGCGTGTTTTGTTTTGTGTTACTTTAAATGAACTACTTTCGTATAAAATTTCAATAGTTCTATTCATGAAGTATTGTTACATTTATTTGCCAACTATGACAATGTATTTCGAGAACCCAATCTTCATTGTGATTTTTTTCTTTACAGCGGCACCTGGATGTGGTGATGTGAATGGGCAAAGTCCAGGTAAGTTTCTCAGTGTGCTGCACACTCAATACATGTGCAGCGGAACCTACTTATAACAAAATTCTTTAAAAGAACGTCTGGCCGCTGTATGTTCATAATAAATTGTAACACAATGCAAAATATCTGAAATATATATATATATATATATATATATATATATATATATATATATATATATATATATATATAGAATATATATATATATTGAAGAGGAATTCAAGCCACCGTACACCTACC